AATGTTTAAAGTGGCATGGTGGCTCAGTGGTTAAAATTGTGGCCTCACAGCAAGGTCACTGGTTCGAGCCTTGGCTGGGTCAGTTGGTGTTTCCAGTTTCCCCCACAGTCCAAACACATGCGCTATAGGGGAATTGATGAACTAAATTGTCCGTAGTGTACGAGTGTGTGTGTGAATGAAAGCGTACGGGTGTTTCCACAACAGGGTTGCAGCTGGAAGGGCATCCACTGTGTAAAACATATGCCCAAAGTTGCCCTTCACATATGAAACAGACAGACCTGAGATAAGACGAGACGACTTAGTAGATGATATGAGATGTGTCATAGTGCTCAAAATTGAGTTATTATATAAATTAGACACTTTGTGTTTGTTTAATTCTGATTTAGAAATGATAGAGTCTGATGTAGATTTATAAAGAACTGCTAATGCTGCTTGTATGCTGCATCTTTGTTCAGATCCTAATTAAAATGCAGTGTTTTCCTCTCATTTTAAATGACGGAGCACAGGCAGAAAGTCTTATTGTGTTTGTATGAAGATATTCTTTTAGTTGTCTATATTCTATGGTTTGGGGATCATTTTAAACTTTACATTTAGTTTTGATATATGTTAATTTCACAATTTAATGTGCAGAATTACCTTATACAAAGACATCTTTTCACTGACTGGATAATGCCTTCAAGCTCATTTTGCAAAAAAAAAAAAAAAAAATCATGAGAAAATTGAATCATGAAATCAAACTAGTTAATCATCTCTAACTAAAACTAATCCCATCCAGTCATATCACAAAAGCAGAATGCATTGAGGGTGTTAGTATACATGTTTGGTCAAGAACAAATGACAAAAACACGCACACAAACACACACAGACATCTCCTCGCTGCGCATTACACACTCATTACTGTCACAGGCTAACAGGACGTGTGAGAAAAAGCCCAACTAGACGTTTATAAAGCTCCTCCGTCTGTCGAGTTTAACATTAATTCTGTGCTGCTCGCTGCATTTGTGATGTGTGTAAAGCAGAGACAGGGCTGTAAATGCGGAGGAGAACGTGACGCGTCTCCTGCATGCCTGCACTTCCTGTGGCTCTCCAGAGACACACAAACACACACAAACACACACATACACATCCAGGCCTAACCAGATGTGACGGTTAAGAAAAGACCAGCGCTACATCAATCCAACCTAACAAACACACACACACACACACACACACACACAGAAAGAGCTCTGGCTTATATAAAGATCTCAGTCGCTGCACTTTAACATCAGCCCTGGCGTTTATCGATGTTCACGTCACTTCTGCTCACACTCAATCACTTTACATTAGAGCTGCAGTAAGATACGGGGATGTTTGCTCAAGTATTATGGTACTAGCTTTTGGTATCATTTGAGTCAGGGATTTATAAAGGCGGTCCCCTGCTTTGTTTGTAAATGAAACAACTGTTTTGAATGAATCATTAGAGTCAGTGATTCATAAAGACACTCACCTGCTTTGTTTCTAAATGAATCAGCTGTTTTAAACGAATCATCTGAGTCAGTGATTCATAAAGACACTCACCTGCTTTGTTTCTAAATGAATCAGCTGTTTTAAACGAATCATTTGAGTCAGTGATTCATAAAGACACTCACCTGCTTTGTTTCTAAATGAATCAGCTGTTTTAAACGAATCATTTGAGTCAGTGATTCATAAAGACACTCACCTGCTTTGTTTCTAAATGAATCAGCTGTTTTAAACGAATCATTTGAGTCAGTGATTCATAAAGACACTTGCCTTCTTTGTTTCTAAATCAGCTGTTTTAAACAAATCATTTGTATGACTGATTCAGTGAATCACTAACTCGTTAAGGAGGAACTTGCTTAACTACATTCATTTATTCAGGAGAGATCTAAAACAGCCAAGATCAGCACAAAAACGCACTCAACTTTAAGAGAAAAAAAAAAAATCAATACACACACAGGCAGAGAATTATTAGCAATATACACAGGTCAGAATTATTAGCCCTCCTGTTAAATTTGAACTATTTTAGAAGTTTTCCCAATTTCTGTTTAACTGGGTTTTTTTTTTAACACATTTCTAATCATAATAGTGTTAATACCTCATCTCTAATAAGTGATTTATATTATCTTTGTTATGATGACAGCACATAATATTTGACTAGATATTCTTCAAGACACTAGCATTCGGCTTATGCCTAGTTCAGACTGCGTGATTTTAGCCCCGATTTTGGCTCGCCGACAGGTTTTAAGAAATCGCCGACAAATGCCTGAAAATCACAGGCAAATCGCTGCTCGTGCACGTGACAATCACACAGTGTGAACTATCACAGAAGCGATCTGAGAGAATCGCTGATGAGTCGCCGATGTATGCGAGATATTTGGGATGCTAAATATCTGGAGCTGTCGGCGATTCAAATCATGACATGTGAATTGAGTTTTGACTGAAAATAACATCAGCCATCTCCTACAGCCAATGAGAGAGCAGCATTCACTAGTGTGTGCGTGTGTGTGTACCTGCTGCAGGCCAGCGGGAGGCTGGGGGAGAAGTTAAAGCGCTCTTTTTCGGTTTATTTGGACCCACGAAATGGAGGAAAAACTAGTGGAGGTTTAACAGGAGCACCCGTGTCTGTTTGACGTTTCATACAGAAAGAAATTAGTTTATTATCAACGTTGAAGAGAAATGGCTAATTCCCTTTAAACCCAGGAGACATTTACATGTACATTTTCTACCCATTAAAGGCTTTTTTCTCATTATGTAGTTAATAACAAAAGATATACGACGTGTTTTTGGCTGTGAGACGTAGTTTGGAAGAAGTTGTCGGCGATTCTTCCTATAGTAAAGTCATGCAATGTGAAAGTCCCTGTCGCCGATCCATCTTGCAGTGTAAACAAAGCAGCGACGAAACGCTAGCCCAGATAGTCATGCAGTGTGAAAACACCTGTGACACGACTACTTTGAAAATCATGCAGTCTGAACTCGGCATTAAAGTGACAATTTAAGGCCTAACTAGGTTAATTAGGGTAAAGATAGGGTAATTAGGCAGGTCATTGTATAACCAGGTCCATAGTCAGGGGGGGTTCGGGTGGTTCGAAAGACCCACTCTCCACTGACAAAGGTCCAGAATTTGTCCCATACATGAGCTCATTGGTCCTATTTTGACTGCTGTTCCATCATAAATTGTGAAAACAACCCATCGAAGAAGGCTTTAAGGCCAAGCGGAATCCTCTGTTGGCTGTCGTGACTTCAGCTACAACAAATATTTTTCATGAGTTTAACATCTGTGCAAAAAAACGTTACTGATCTACAGTATTGTTGTTAAATAGAGAAACCATTTTACAAGTTACTTTTATTCTAAATTTTGGATGTTATACATGAAACAAAAATGATCAATAAAAAAAGTGTGAAGCACCAAAAGCGCTCCATATTAAAGTTAATTTTATTACATATCAGGCTATTGTTGTTATTCATGAATTTTTAATTCAAATATTTCTACAAGAGAAAAATCTAGAAAAAATTGTGAAGCTCTACATTATTATTGTTTATTTATTGGTTTATAAATTTTAATCAAATGGCCAAATTCTAACAGAGGAAAGTTGAATGTGCTGGCCAGACCGTTATTTACCTAATAAATGAAAATAAGCTACAGTTTTTAATAAATAAAAAAAAATAACGAATCCTATTTTTTTCTTAATGATGAATAATTTAATAAATTAGAATTCTAAAGTAAGTTTTTTTCAAAACTTAAGGAAATTTTTTGGTACATCAAAAACTTTAGTTCTGACGACCATTCAACTAGCTATTTAAGCAAAAAAAGTGCTTAAAATGTCACTAAAATGCAGTATTTGAACCATAATTAAACACAAAATGAGGTGAAGAACTACAAAACGGTCCACTTTTTGAGAAAAAAGAACTACCCTTTTCACCAGGCTGGCTATGGGCCTGATAACAGTGGTTTGTTCTGGAGTTTGTTCTGGAATAGTTGGGCGTGGCGACCCCTGATGAATAAAGAGACTAGTCCAAAACTAATAGTGCTAAAAATATTGAGATTAAAATGGTTTTAAAACAATAAAGAACTGCTTTTATTCTAGCTGAAAATAAAACAAATAGGACTTTCTCCAGAAGAAAAAAATATTATAGGAAATACTGTGAAAAAATGTGTTGCTCTGTTAAACATCACTGGAATAGTTTCAACTGGTTTAGTATTATAACATGAATTAATGGTGTCGCCATAACTCAATTAGGCAAGTCATTGTATAATAGTGGTTTTGGGACAATCTGGAGACAATCCAAAACTAATATTGCTTAAGGGGGCTAATAATATTGACCTTAAAATGGCTTTAAAACAATTAAAAACTGCTTTTATTCTAGCTGAAATAAAACCAATAAGACTTTCTCCAAAAGAAATAACATATTAGAGGAAATACTGTGACAGATTTGTTGCTCTGTTAAACATCACTTGAGAAATATTTGAAAAAGATTCAATATTTTACAGGGGGGCAATAATTATATTAAACCATCAGAATGAGTCATCTTAGTACAAACCTAGACACTAATACCCTTTATAGAAAAACGAGGAACAAGCTCAATCCCTCATTAATGTGTGTAATCATGTTAAATGAGTGTATTCAGCTCAACAGTGCTAAAATGAGCATTTATTCTCCTCTAATGTCACTCCAGGGCCTGTTTCTGAAGCTAATGCAATAATAGATGGACGGTTTGGTGCAAAGAAGCGATGCAGAACAATGACGCATCTCTCTGGTGATCACAGCTGACACTTCAGCCCTCGAGAGCGGCGTCTCAATAACAACATCCAAACAACACATCCCAGCATGCACTGCTGCAGCGACCGCCAGAGCCCTGTGATCTTCATTACGCTGCAGTGAGCACAACTACACCAGACGCAGCCCAGGCTTATATCCATATCACATCATGACACTTTTATTAAGCATCTTCCAAGATTTCCCCAGGATTATGAAAGTCAAACTGTAATATTATTGGCTTACCTCGTCAAAGCCGCCGTCTTCTTTCTTGAAGGCTGGAGGGGGAAAGAAAGAAGACGTATTTCAGACATTCATTTTACTGACGACTGAACACCAAAGAGAAAAGAAAGAAGGAAAAGTGGCTCTTTAATGAATTCTGCACATGCAAATATTAAATAAAGCAGTAAGAAAGGCTGTAATAGGTGGAGAGATTATTCCAGCCACAGGACATTAAGAGGAGAGGCTGAAAACTGAAAAAAAATATTATAAAAAGCATGTCATCACAGTTAATTCCAAAAATCTAATAAAATAAATAAAATAAAAATTTAGTCCCTTTAGTCGTCAGAGCAGAATGAACCGCCAACTTATCCATCTTATGTTTTACACAGAAGATGCCCTTCCAGCTGCAACCCATCACTGGGAAACATCCACACACACTCATTCACACTCTTACACTATGGAAAATTTAGCTTATCCAATTCCCTGATACCCACGCCAACACATAGAGAACATGCAAACTCCACACAGAAATACCAATTGACCCAGCCGGGACTCGAACCAGTGACCTTCTTGCTTTGATGCGATCGTGCCACCCACTGCGCCGCCGCAGTTAAAAATAAAATAAAATAAAATAAAATAAAAACAAAAATAAAAATATAAAATATATATTTTTAATAATAATAATAATAAATTATAAATTATAGTAATAATAATATACATAATAACAATAATAATATTAATAATAATATTAATAATATCAATAATAAATAATAATAATAACAAAAATAAAGCAAACTTAATACATGTTTATACTATTATATTTATTTATTTATTCATTTTTTATTGAACAAAACTGTATAACACAATTAAAAAATATAAACATTTGACAACTGACACTGTTTCAATTCACTATAATCTTTTTTGTGAAGCTGCTTTGACACAATCTACATTGTAAAAGCACTCTAGAAACAAAGGTGAATTAAACTGAACATGTTGTCAAACAAATATCTAATTTATTTAGTTATTTCTTTTTTTAATACAATAAGTTAAATAAATTAATAAATGAATCATTTATTTATTTTTCATTAATTATTTAAGACATAAATCCATTAAATAAAAAAGACGTCTACATGTAGACCCCAAATAAAACTTAAATGAAATATAAAAACATTAATATATATATATATTTTTTTTTTTAAATTGCATTTATAAAAAAAAAAATATTATTGAAAGTAATTTACAAGTAATTTACAATTACAGATTAGAGTTTATTTTATGAAATGTCAATTATCCTTTTAATTTATCAAATAAAAAAGGGTTTTAAAAAATCATCCATTCATTAATTTTCTTTTCGGCTTAGTCCCTTTATTAATCTGGCCTCGCCACAGCGGAATGAATCATCAACTTATCCAACACCTGTTTTACACAGCAGATGCCCAGCAAATAATGTTTTTTATTTTAGGGGTATAATGCGACCTCAGCGTATGAATGTAATCAGCCTTGAAAGCACAGGTAAGTGATGTTGGTCTGTTGAAGAATGCACATGTATCCTTCCCCTCTCAAAGTACACACCAACCTTTACAAACAGAAATACAAACAATCTTTAGGGATGATCCTCCACTGAGACAGAGAGGAGATGGAGAGGGAAATAAAACGTTCCTCTCGCATCTAATGAGACCGTATGCACTCGTAAATACCGCATGACAGCAGCTTTATCTTCGTAACAGCTGTAGTAAAGATCTCTGTTGTGTTTAACCCAAGGGGAGGATTGATCTGCACTCAATAAATCAGCTGATGCTCAAATAAACTACACGCATTGATATGCAAAAGTCGATGCCAAGAAAACTTATTTACATTCAAGAATAAAGGTCTGTTGAATGCTTGATTCTGAGTGATCATTCTGAGGTGCTTGGATTTTGTCAGATGAATGCACAGCTAAAGTAGTTCCGGCAGGTTGAGAGCGCATTACAGCTCCATATCACAACACTGAGTGATTAGAGTTATTTCACAGCTACAACAGTCAAATATCACATCAAAACACAACAGAAGGAGGAGGACGAGATGTGGAGGACACTAGTGCTACACACAGGAGATGCTTAAGGAGGACAAACACCTGTAAAGACCACAGGAGAAGAAATACAGGGCGATTTAAAAAGAATATACAACTGTGAAAATTTGTATTTAATCAAGGAAACATGATGGAACCTTGTGTAATTAATCAATGAGAAGAGTACCTAAAGTTTTTTTCAGCAGAAAACAAGATCAGATGTTCATATTGACCCGCACCAGACACTCGAGTGACGTCACTAGGGCTGTGCAATTAATCGAAAATCCGATTTCGATTTTGGCTTCTAACGATTATGAAAAACCATTAATCGAGAAACACGATTATTGCATCATATACCAAAAGCGCGAAAGAGCGCGTGCTTATGTGTGTGTGCGGCAAGCACACACAGTCAGAAGCATGCGGTCAGCATTCAGTCTCATTTGCACACTGAGACGAGCAGAGCACACACATCTAAAGTCATCTTAACGTGAGCGTTTTAATAGTCAAATAGGTGTCAAAACGCGGTGTTTAGTGATTATTCATATTAACCCTCATTTGTGTAATAAACAAATGAATTGAGAACCAAAAGACGTGAAAAAGAGAAACCATTAAAGTGACCGCACGAAATGTTCCTGCTGCCGCCTGTTTTTATCATTAATCAAACAACAAAATGAGAAAATCCCTCACTGCTCTTGACTGAAGGACTGCTGTAGCTAAAGTGTTTTTCTTACAGTGAAGATGCTTAAAGCACAGTTTGATTAATATTTTTATTCTACTGTATTTATTTCTCTTTCCTTTGCAGGGAGGAAAATAACTGTATATAGTTGAAGTCAGAATTATTAGCCCTCCTGAATATTAGCAACCCTTTTCCCCCAATTTCTGTTTAATGGAAAGAATTTTTTATTATTTTTTTTACTTATTTCTGAACATAATAGTTTTGATATCTCATTTCTAATAACTGATTTCTTTTATCTTTGCTATGATGACATTAAATTATATTTTACAAGATGTTTTTCAAAATACAAGCATTTAGATTAAAGTACAATTCAAAGGCTTAATTAGAGTAATTAGGCAAGTATATATTGCATTGTATAACAGTAGATTCTTCTGCAGACAATCAAAAAATATATAGCTTAAGGGGGCTAATAATATTGACCTTAAAATGGGTTTCAAAATATTTAAATCTGCTTTTATTCTAGCCAAAATAAAACAAATCAGACTTTCTCCAGTAAGAAAAAAAAATATTATAGGAAATACTGTTAGAATTCCTCTGTTTAATGTAATTTGGAAAACAAAATGTTTTAAATAAATTCTCAGGAGCGTTCATAATTTTGACTTCAACTGATAATCGTTTTGAATAATCGTGATTACAATTATGACCAAAATAATCGTGATTATGATTTTTCCCCATAATCGAGCAGCCCTAACATCAACCCGGTACTTGAACTCGCTCCACACTCTCTGTAGCATCTCTGTAGCATCAGTTTGGATAGCTGCAGTTATTCAACTTTTAGTTCCTCAATGTGAAACTCCAGAGCTTCCTTATAGGGTCACGGAAAACCAGAACACATGTTTTGAGCTGTAGACAGTCGTATATGTGTCCCACGCTGCTATAAACACTATTAGGGCACATATCTCACTAAAAAGTGAAAGTTTGTTGCTTTTGCGTTATTTCAAGCGAATTCGTTCTTCCGGTTTGAAACAAGTTTTTGAAGCTGCGCCACGACGATTAGATCCTTGCGTTTGCGCCCCAGCTGGGTTAGTTGGTGTTTCTGTGTGGAGTTTGCATGTTCTCCCTGTGTTGGCGTGAGTTTCCACCGGGTTCCCCCATAGTCCAAACACATGCACTATAGGGGAATTGATAAACTAAACTGGCCGTAGTGTGTGAGTGTGTGTATGGGTGTTTCCCAGTACTGGGTTGCAGCTGGAAGGGCATCCGCTGCATAAAACATATGCTGGAACAGTTGGCGGTTGATTCCGCCAAGGGCATAGATTCACTCTTGACATTGGTGGGAACATACATCCCTAGGGAGTATGTATTGAACAGCAAAAGCTTAGCGCTTTTAAATACATGATTAAAGTACTGAACAATATAAAATAAACACTTAATATTACCAATAACAATCCCATCCCATGTTGAAAAAGTCAAATTTACATGATGTTACTGCAGTCAGGCTATGAGGAGGTGTGAGTGTAGAGAAATTTAGAGAGGTGTGTGTGGGACGCAATTTACTGTTTTATCCCGATTATTGATTTTCATAATCATGGAGGACAAAATCAAAACTGATTTTTAATTAATTGCACTGCCTTGGTTAATAGTATTACGATTAGGGCTGCAACAACGAATCGATTAAATCGATAAAAATCAATTACTATAAGCCTTGGCAACGAATTTAATTATTGATTCGTTGTGTCGCGCGACAAGGAGATGTTTGATTTAAAAAAAAAAAAGAACACTTTAGCTCAGTGCGGAGCGGACTGAACAAGGCCTCTCTCCATCTCTCGTGCACTGATACAGAGTTCAGTGCCTCAAGAAGACAGGGATGCTGCGGAAGAATCACTACAGAATCCTTCTTTTGTTCCGTTTTGAAGTGAGAACCATAAAGTCCCTGGTGCTAGCGTTTTGTGTCTGGCGCTGAGCCAGAGAAAGGCGGCGGGGTTAAGTTTTGTTTTCATTATTCCTGACACACATTTAGTTATAGACGGCATTAACTCAAAAACCTCTTACCCTAAAAAGATCTAAACTGTGCTTTCTACAAAAAGACAAAACTGGTTATGTTTAACAGCTGTATTTTTTATTTTTTCGCTCGATATTACGAGCACTGCTCTATTTAAGCAGTCGCAATATGTGCTGAGCTAGAGAGAGCTTGCGCTGAGCAGAGCTTTCAGTAAGGGACCGTCAGAAAAGTGCTTCTTTTTTTTCTTTTCGAAAACAAAACCAACTTAACTCCGCTGAAAGACGAGTCATATTATCACAATTATGCAGCTTTTTAATCGCCTAATACTTCA